TTATTTTATTTTGAGTTAGGATCTTGCTAAGTTGTCTAGTTTGGTCTCACACTTGTGATCCACCTGCCTCAGCCTCCTGAGTAGCTGGAATTACAGGTGTATGCCACTAAGCCCAGTAGGACTTTCTTTTTTTATATAACCACCATGCCATTATCACACCTGAMAAATCAGCAATAATTCCTCCATCTCATCTGGATACCCATTCTATAATCACATGTCCAACATTTTTCAAGGGTATCCTGTCGACAGTTGGTTTATTCACAACAGAATTCAAACACAGTTCACACATAGCATTTGGTTGACATCTTTCAAGTCAGTCCCTTCCTGACAGTCCAGGGGCTGGGGTTGTGGCTCAGTTGTAGAGTGCCCACCTAGCATGCTTGAGGCACTGGTTTACCCTCAGCACCACATAAAAATGAAATAAAAATATTGTATGTCCACCTGCAACTAATATATATGACAGTACAGGAGGGAGAGCTTTGGAAGCTTTTGCTTGAGTTGCACAATTGCTCAGAAAACTGAAGGTCCTGGAGAAGAGGATTAAGAGTCTCCATGTGTCCAAGCTGAAACCTAACTCAGAAAAGTCAGGCCAGGCAAGGAAAGGGGCATTGCCACCTCCTCCCATTGCCTTCAGCTCTCCTTACCCAGTGAGGAGGCACACATCCAGGTGTCAAGCCTCACCTGCACCTTCCTGAGAAAACCAATGGTGAGTCCAGCCAGGACAGGGCTCCAGCCTTCAAAGTAGCCAACAAAGGAAGGGGCAGAGGTGCTACCTGGAGAGATGCAACTGAGGGAGGTGGAGGTGGTAAGGCCCAGAAAGTGTCCTAGGCAGGAAAGAAAAATGGGTGCCCCAGTTTTCCATGAAGTATGAGGCTGWAGAGAAGGTACAGATGGAGGTTTGAGAAGTTGCAATCTGTTTGCAGTTTCTACAGGAAGCTTGGTATTTAGAGAAAAGTGTCTGGAATGACTCTTCTGTGAAGCTGGGGTCCCTTTTTCATGATTTGTTGGTGGCTCCTGCTTCCTCTCCACACTCTGTGGATGTGGGCACAGACCTAGAACAGCCCACTAGACTTTTCAAAGGCATTTGCCTCTGTATAAACAAAATCTGACTCCAGCCACCTCTGCTTTCCGTCTTCTTGTCTCCCTTCCTGATATCCTCCCAAGACACAGAACATACCCCCAAGAGCCAGGTGGAAATTTCCCAGGCTTCTGGTGACACTGATAGGCCACAAGGTCGGAAGACAGTTGGGTGTTCACTGTTTGCAAGGAGGAAAGGGCCAGGAGAAGGCGGACATAACTCCTTCTTCCCCTCACATTCTCAATTTAGTCAAAAGTGTTCGAGCCACATTCCTTCTGGGAGCAAATTTCACTGCAGAATTTGTCTCTGACTTTCCAAGCTGGGCTGATAGCATTAGCCTGGCATTGAGCCTTTTATCAACCAGGGAGGCCCATTGATTAGGAAAGGTAAGCCTGACAGACTATAGCCTGGATGGTTATCTCCTCAGGGGTCATGCTATTGTTTGTAGCATATGGATGGACAGGAACCTAGAAGTAATTGCATCACTTTTCGTTAATGGCCCTGGAAATGGTCCTACCTGACATTTCATCTGGGCCCCTCTGCTCAGTGGCTTATCCTGCTTGGCCAGTAGGAAGCGGGGGATTTTCCTTAACAGGACCCCTTGCCTGTGTTGACCTTCCAGCCCTGAGGTCAGCCATTTTTCTCCTGGGTGAGGGCACCCCGCAGTAAGTGGACAAAAAGAGGTTCCTTCCCTCTCGGAACTTTTAGCCCCACCTCATCAATTTCTCCTTGTAAGAGACATACGTCCTCTGCCAGGGTTCAACTGAAAGGATAAATCATGGCTGAGTGAATTGAAGATATGAGTGAAGTTAGAGGTAGAAAGGTTTTGTGGAGTGAGAGGCAGCATGCTAATCACCTGGGGGAAGAAGATTCTAGAAGCCATGAGGAATAAGGAGGGTGAGATTCACAAAACAATCCCCAAATTAATACAGAATAAAATGCCAGGCAATGACACATACAATAGAGAAGACTGGCATAAGCAAAGTCGTCGTGGGGGACTGCTGAAGAGCTGTTTTATCTAGGGGGAATCAGGAAGGCTTCCCTGAGGAGGTGATGTTTGAACAAAGACCTGAACCAAGTGACAAAGTGATGTAAGAATAATCAAGGGCAACAACCCTGAGACCTTGGGTTTAGGATCAGCAAGCCAACCCGTGTGGCGGAGGAGGCATATGCTGGCCTGGGAGTCTCCAGGAGAATGTTGGGTTGTATGGAGAGCACTGGAAAGCCACAGGAAGGCTTGGAGCAGAGGGACAGGCAGGTCCTCAGCACAGGTGGGCTGCCCTCTGCCTCCTTTTCTTTTTTTTTTTTCCTTTTTATGTGGATATGACAGTAGAATGTATTACAACCCATTTCTTATTAGAATCCCAATTCTTGTGGTTGCAACGGAAAGTCGTCTGCCTGCTTTTGTGCCTCCCTTCCAGGTGGGACCTGGACCCAGGCTGGACCTGCAGACATGGCGATAGGYGATTAAGGAAAGGGTCCAGGAGAGCTGGGCGTGGCCTGGTGATCCCTCTGTGTCCTCATCCTTTTCTCTTCCCTTTTCCTGTCTCTTCCTTCCCCTCCTCTTTCTTCCTGCACTCTTTGCCCAAACCACTGTGTGCTCATTTGGGAAGGTAAGCAGCCCCTGGCCTTCCCACCTCCCATCTACTTCAGGGTTGCTAAAACTCTGTCCCTGCTCCTTGACCCCCACAGAACTCTGCATCTCACTGACAGACTCATGACACCCTTGCAGTGTACTGAGAGGGTGACCTGGGCCTCTCATTGATGAAATGAGTAGGTCTCAGGTCCTGCAATTTATTCCARTTTATCTCTTGAGCAGCTCAGGGAAATAACCAGGCAGCTATTGAGTACCCAGAGTTGTTGGTTCTGGGCAGAGAGGAGAGAGGGGCTGGAGGCTTTGACATAGACATGGAAAAGTTTCTGTGCTCTGGGGTTGCTTTCCGGTGGTGGGATTCCTCCACTACAGAGCTGGCAGAGACAGCTGCCGCACATAGGAATGGAGCATGCAGGTGCTTTGGTCAGGCCCGGGAGGGAGACATTATTAATTAGAAGTGCTCTAGGAAGCAGATGCCACTTGCATTAGGCTTTGGAACACTTGGAGGCCTTCTGGGGGCTTTAGAGAAAGGCCCTGCAACGGATCCCCTGCCAGATGCAAGTCCAGAGCAGCACAGGCCCACAGTGTGCACTGGCTTTCTTCTGGTTCCTGATACCATGATGAAAGGTGAACAAGAATGGAAATGTGCTCTCAATGTGGTTAAGAGACGAGACCAGCCCTGGAGAGTCAGTGAGCTACCCACCCTTAGCACTCACCAGGGCCAAATATGGCCTTGCAGTGAGCAGGTTGTCAGAGTGGAGAGAAAAAAGCTGCACAGGACCTTAGGGGTCATCCTGGGTAGCTCGTTTTCTTGAGGTCATGGGGTCCTTTGAGAATCTATGAAAGCTATCGACTCAGAAGAAATGCTTGTCTGTGCAGACACACTAAATTGGTTTTTTATTGAGGTATAATTTATAACCCATAAAAGTCGCYATTTTAAAACATACAATCCAGTGCTTTTTAGTATATTTACAAGGTTATACAACCACCGTTGCTTTCTTACTCCAGAACATTTTCATTATCCCAGAAGGAAACCCCATACCCTTTGTAGTCATCCCCCATTCTCTCCTTTCCCCAGCCCCTAGCAACTTGATCTACTTCCCGTCTCTGGTTTTGCCTATTCTGGTACGTTTTATATAAATGGAATCACACAATATGTGGTCTTTTGTGCTGGCTTCTTCCATTTAATGTTTTCAAGATTCATTCATGCTGTAGTTTGTATCAATACTCTATTTGTTTTCATGTATAATATTCTTGAATAATATTTCATGTATGGATACCACATTTTCTTTATCCGTTCATCAGTTGATACACATCTGGGTTTTTTCTACTTAGCTTTTCTGACTAGGTTGCTATGAACACTCACATACACATTCACACACGAAAATTTGCACACCGTTTTAGAGATTCACAGAACCCCCAAAACCTATCTCATGACTTAGGAAAACTTCATTTTATAAAAAGAGGGAGCTGGGCACGGTGGTGCACATCTGTAAGCACAGTGGCTGGGGAGGCTGAGGCAGGAGGATCACAAGTTCAAAGCCAGCCTCAGCAACTTAGTGAGGCCCCGTCTCTAAATAAAATATTTAAAAATGGCTGGCGATGTGCTGGTTAAGCACTCCTGAGTTCAATCCCTAATGTCAAAAACGTGGGGGGAGGGATTTGAGAGGAGATGGACATAACTTGTTACTGTTTATTGAGTGGTGCTAGGTTAAATTCTTTATGTAAGCCTCAACAACCCTGTGACACATTATTATCTCCCATTTCAGATAGGAAAACTGAGGCTCAGAGAAGCCATATCAGGCTTCTTAGAGAAGCTGAGATTTAAGCTAAGCCTCGACTGCCAGGCAATGAAGGGCAGTTACCCATCTGTCTCTACCTGACTCCCACCAAAGCCCCCATTTCCTTCCATTTATTTTCTAAAGATGTATTAATGCTCTGTCTACCAACAGGCCATCCATTTTGCTAAACCCAGAGCCAGTCCAGCATACAGGGAGCATCCCAGATTGCCAGAAAATGACCCTGTCCCCAGAGTGATGTGTGATCGAAGCCCCTGCCTCCTGCTCTCCCACTTCAGGAGAAGCTGGGCCTCCAGTCACACTGGCTTGTGTATCTGGGTGTAGTAATAATAGCTCAGGGGCATCCATCTCCTGAGCAGCTGAGTCATCTGTAGCCATTGCCCTCACTGTACCGCTCCCACTGCACACCCTGCCTGGCAGGGAGGTATCAGGGCAGGTTGAGGACAGTGTGTGGCTAGGGTTCTGCAGGGAGGTGGGCAGCTGCTGTCTGACGCCCATTGACACCATCACCTTCTGCTTTGTCCTGTAGCCGGTGGACAACCAGCAAGCCATGGTGCGCAGGGAGTCCCTGGTCAACCTGGAGAACTTCAAGAAGCAGTATGTCCGCAGGAGGTGGAAGGTGTGTGTGGTTTGGAGTGGTTGGGGGAGAGGGCCAGCCAGGCACCCTGCCGCTCTTCAGGGTCCCTGAGCACATTCTCACCTGGCATCTGTTTTCTCTCCCTCCCTCCCTCAGCTGTCCTTCAGCATCGTGTCCTTGTGCAATCACCTCACTCGCTCCCTGATGAAGAAGGTGCACCTGAGGCCAAATGAGGACCTGGTGGGTAAATGCAGGACCCTTTGGGGCAGAATTCTGGGGGTGGCCTGAAGCTTGGAAGTAGGGGGAGCTTCCCTCCCCTGTTGAGGCAGGTGAGTGCTAGTTATTTCCAGTCTTTTCTGCTGGCCCTGTGCTCCTCTGCCCTGGAGCTAGTGTGTAATCAGCAGAGGTATATGTTTGGGGGGCCTCTGGCTGGTGCTGGGTGGGGTGCTCCAACAAGGCAGCATGAACTTTTGGAGAATCTTAAATTCTTTCCTGCTCCATCTTTGAAGAGATTGCTGCTCCCACTCCTCCCCATCCCTCCAGAACCGCCCTGAAGACTTATAGTCCTCAGAGGATGGTGGGGACTCTGGAGAATGAATACCAGAGACCATCCAAAATTTATTTCTGATGATCCAAAAATCTACTTTAGAATGGGAATTTTACATCCTCTTTTCAATTCTCCCATTTCTAGCTTGCTTTAGATTACCATTATCAATAATAATATTAGGATGGTTTCTTATACTTGTTGTAGTTTTATGCATCTTTTAATGGGATATGCTGAAGAGAATAGCCTCTAGAGCCTCTAGAGCCAGACTGCCAGGATTCAAATCTGCCACTTACTAGCTAAGTGATCTTAAGGAAATTACTTAATCTCTCTATGCCAAAATGTCATCATTTGTGAAATGAATTAAATAATAGTTCCTACCTCATAGAATAAACATGGGGTTGCAGTGACCTGTCCCTGAAATTTGGCATGTAAGTGTTCAATACATGATAGCAATTATTACTATTGTTTAAAATCCTCCTATAGACTTTAAAATACAACACTAATGTCAGTATTTCAGTCTGTAGGGATTCCCTGGCAGCTCCCCCACTGCAAAGGTGAAGGGGGCCACCCAGGAGGGTCTGAGTTGGTACAGGCCAGGACAGAAGGTAACTCCTTGCTAAAGAAGGGACAGAGAATCAACTGTCTGAAACATCTGAGCAGCCTCAAGATACACAGCACTTAGGCGCAGCCCAGGACCCAGCACTTCCCGTACTTCCTACTCCCCCCATGTATCCGGGAGCTCTCTTTCTTCAGCCTGAGCTCTGGTTTATTCCTGCTCTTGCCAAGACTTGAGGATTTATGACTCCAGAAGCCTACAAGGCATTGGCCAAGTTGGATCCCTTTTCTGGCTGCTTCCCTGACCTGCTATAAAGGGGACGACTGGACCACTCTCCCTCTGAGCATACCTGTCAATCACATGCAGACTTTACCCAGCTTACTTTTTTGTTGTTTGGCTCTGACTCATGGTATAAAAAGTTGCTGGTCAGCAGAGCTTGAGTTATTTTTATTATAATGGCCAGACTTGGTCCAGGATGTATTTGGCTGAAGTTAACCTTGCCCTTGGATTTCCTGCTGGCTCAGGCCAGCCTGGGAGGGTGCATGACAGGGAGCAGACATGCCTTTCATGAGCCCCTGACCCCATTGCCATGTGTGTGGAGATAGAGGACCAGAGAGTAATGGTGAAGAACATTCATTCCTTTCCTAATTTTTGTCCCAGCACAAACACTTGAAGATAGTTTTCTTTTTATTCAAACATTCAGCATTATTAGCTCCGTGGCTCATTCTACAAGTGGAAAAGTATTGAGTCCCAAACAGACATAGTTTTTACAAAGGGACTTTTCTTTAAAAAAAGGTAATGATAGGGCCCTTTTGTTTGGGGAATATTGAAATTGAACATCTAACAATTTTTAAATTTTTTTAAGATGACTTTATGAAGTCTGAATTAGTTCTTTTTTGTTTTTAATCTTTCTTTTGTTTATTTATTTTTATGTGGTACTGAGGATYGAACACAGAACCTTGCAAATGCCAGATGAGTGCTCTACTACTGAGCCACAACCCCAGCCCCTAATAATTTTAATAATTATATTAGTTGGTGTGAGCTGAACAGAAAGACATCATACCCTCTGGGTAGTTACCTGGGCTCTGCTTTAGCCATGTCGGGATGGACAGACTGTATTGTCTACTTCTTTCCTTGTTCATAAAAATGAGCTTTTCAAAAGTCATTTCATTGGAAGAGCTGCAGGGCAAGGCTTGCTGAAGGTGCAGTGGAAGTCAGTCAAGGTGGAGGGGTTGGAATGGTGGCTGTTGGAGCTTGGGGGGAATCTATAGCTTACCTCTCTCTAGACTGAGCAGAGACTCAGGAGCCCACAGACAACTTATCCTTATGTGTGGCCACAAAGGGCACCAGATGTAATTTTCATTATTATGGTTGGGTGTCTTTTGGTGCCTGGTTTCCCTTAGATGCCATACCTGCTTTCCTGCCTCCAAGGAGGCCTCAAGTTTGTTAGTCTGGCCTCATTTTAAGCCCCCCACCAGACCCCTCCCTTCCACTGGTCTCTGGATATGCCCCAGCCGAGGTATATCAAACTTAGGCTGCTCAGCCCAACCCACTTCCTGGCATCCCATAACCCCCTGCTCTGGCCTTCTTTTTTTTTCCCCAGAGGAATTGTGAGAGTGACACTGAGGAGGACATCGCCAAGAGGAAAGCCCTCCACCCTCGGAGGAGGAGCAGTACCTCCTAACTTGGCTGGACTTGCAGTGGCTGCCAGGGAGGTCCAGGCCCAGCGGGGCTCCCTTCTGTGCAGACTCTTGGACCCAGCTCATCACCAGCAGCCAGGCGTTCCACATTCCTGAGCACTTTGCAAGAGAGGGGCCTGCAGGATTCAGAAAAATTTGCAGGGGAGCCAGGAGACCCTGGGAGTTCTGGCTCTCTCCCGTGGAGGAGGCTCCAGCACTTCCAAAGCTCTTAATTCTTCATGAAACTGGCTTTTATCTGTCTGCCAATCTCAGAACCTGGGCAGGGGAGTGGACTTCAGGAAATGATGTAAAACATCATCTTCATCCCGGCATGAAGGTCAGACCCAGGCAGCTCTCCTCACAGGGTGAGGGAGTTCAGAATCAGCCTGGTCAGAATTCACACCAGGAAGACAGAGACCTACCACTAAGGGAACAGTGAAGAGAATCTTGGAATATGAGGGACCAATCTGTGACCTCCTAGAACCCACTGGAATCAGCATACCAGAGTGACCAACATACTAGATCTTCTAGAACAGCCATTGTCAGGCCACTGTGCTGTAATATTTTTCATTTTTATTAAACTTTTGGTTTATCTGAGGCTTGGCTTCTTTTAGGGCTATCTTCTTCTGATTTCCTGTAGCCCAAGGGCCTACGACTTGGAAGTGCTGAGGGGACAGAACCTCAGAAGGTGATTCTAAATTGTCCCCTCCTGCCTTCAGGGTGTCTGCCTTCTGCATCCTTCTCTAAAGGTCTCCAACCCTGACGCCAGCATAAAAGGCCTGAGCTCCCCACACCACCCTGTACCACTCCTGCTGCTGTGGGCTAATCATGTCCCCCCCAAATTCATATGTTGAAATCCTAACCCTTCCCACCACAGAATATCAGTATAATTGGAGACAGGGTCTTTAAACAGTAATTAAAATGAAATGAGTTCACTGAGGTGGACCCAGATTCTCTATGACTGGTCTTATAAGAAGAGATTAGTTGGACACAGTGCCACACGCCTGTAATGCCCCCAGCTCTGAGTCAAAAGGATCGCAAGTTCAAAACCCATCCTCAGCAACAGTGAGGCACTAAGCAACTCAGTGAGACCCTGTCTCTAAATAAAATACAAAATAGGGCTGGGAATGTAGCTCAGTGGTTGAGTGCCCCTGAGTTCAATCCCTGGTACCAAAATGAAAGAAGAATCAGCCAGGCACGGTGGCACATGCCTATAATCCCAGCTACTCTGGAGGTTGTGGCAGGGGGTTTATAAATTTTTTAGGTCATTCTGGGCAACTCAGTGAGACCCTATCATAAAAGGAAGGGGGCTATCGGAAGAGCTGTGGATGTCGTTCAGTGGTAGAGTGCTTGCCTCCTATGTACAAGGTCTTGGATTTCCATTACTACAAAAAAGAGTGGTGGGTATTGCTGGGCACAGTAGCCTGCCTTATTGTCACAGCTACTGGGGAGGCTGAGGCAAGAGGATCGCTTGGGCCCAGGAGTTTGAGGCCAGCCTAGGTGATATAGCTAGAACCCATCTCTTTAAAAAATAAAATAAAGAGAGATAGAGAAGGGGAGATTTGGATACAGAAGGGAAAACACATGAAGACACAGGGCAGGGAAAATGGCCTATAAGCTAAGGAAAGGGGCCTCAGAAACAAACCAACCCTGTGAACACCTTGATGTTACAATTCTTGAGAAAATAAATTTTTGTTATTTAAGACACCTAGTCTGAGGTACTTTGTTATATGGTACTCTTTGGTTCTTAAACCCTAGTAAACAATACCAGCCGACTATGGCCAAGAAAGAGATGGGAATTTTAACAATGCAGATAGAAGAGCGCAAAGAAGGGCCCAAGGGAGAAAGGAGAGGATAAAGATGGATTCCTCTTTGGGAGAATATGGCAAGGGTACCTGCATGGCAGAAATCCAGGCCCTGCTTTCCCAGCCAAGAGAATGGCGTTGCTGACCAGACTCAAGAGAGGACCCATGGAAGTCAGAAGTGAAGAAGTAAGGGGCGGCCCTGAGAGTGGGAAAGTACATAGAAGGGGAAGGGAGGGGAGTTGTGGAAAGTGAGCCAGGGAACCAGCTGAGGAAGTGAGCCAGGAAGTACAGGGCTGGGAGGGATCAAAAGGGTAGAAAGGAAAGGGCCCTTAGTTGGGCTCCCTGTGTCAGCAGTTTTAAGCACATTGTGAGAGAGCAGGCCAAGCTGCCTTCACCCTGTAGAGGGATTCTGAACAAAATGGCCCCTATAGAACAGAAAGGCCATGCAGTTTCAGAAACTCTCCCAACAACATGGAGGGGGCCTGCTAGCATGCTGTAGAAAGCTCTGCAACTGACCTGTGCGTCCTGGGCTTCCCCAGTTTTCAGGCAGAACCAGCCCCATACCTTGCTCCAGTTTGGGAGGACAACTGAGGCTGAGAATTTCTGACTACACTCAGCACCTTGGACCTGTGAAGAATTCTTGACTGGGCTGGGGATGTGGCTCAAGCGGTAGCGTGCTCGCCTGGCATGCGTGCGGCCCGGGTTCGATCCTCAGCACCACGTACAAACAGAGATGTTGTGTCCGCCGAAAAAAACTAAAATAAATAAATAAATTCTCTCTCTCTCTCCCCTCCTCTCCTCTCTCAAAAAAAAAAAAAAAAAAATTAAAAAAAAAAAAAAGGATTCTTGACTGAGCCTGATGATATAAAACAGCAGGAAATATTCTGCAACATGGGCTCACTGGGCACTACTAGGAAGTCATTTGTGGTGGAGCGAGGTGGCTCCTCTCCTGCTTGGAAAGAGAGCTATGAAAGGCTTGTCTGATCATGATCATAGGCTTAGCCTTTTAGATCTTAGCACAACCATTCTTACAGAATAGGAAATAGCCTAGAGAGAGGAAGTGACAACTTCCTGCTTCACACAGAAAGTCTGTGAAATGTCTGGTAAAAGCCCAAACTTCCTGACTCTTAGTACAGTGCTCATTTTTTTTCAGCTCAATAAACTGTGGTGGGCCTTCCAGGAAATAGATAGATTGCCTCTTTTTTTTTCCCCCCGATACTGGGAATTGAACCCATAGATGCTTAACCACTGAGCCACATCCCCAGTCCTTTTTAAATATATCTTATTTAGACTCAGAGTCACACTAAGTTGCCAAGGGCCTTGCTAAGTTGCAGAGGCTGGCTTGGAACTTAATATCCTCCTGCCTCAGCCTCCTGAACTGCTGGGATTATAGGCATGTGCCACCATACCCAGCTAGTTTTGCCTCATTTTTAACAGGCTGGCACTTGTATTTTACTGTTACCTACTTTGTCCTTCATTCTTAGAAATGGAAGAAAGTGTCATACTTGTTTCTATACATCTTTCCTTATTAAAAAGATACTGCCCCTGGGTGAGGACAGCCTAAGCAGCCAACCCCATGGCTGCAAGGCAGACAGGGAACTAGTATTTACTTGATTCTCACTATGTGTTTGGCAGTGTCCTAAATGCTGGGGTTAGATTAGAGAAAAGGAAATACAGTCTCTGCTCTAAAGGGGTCTACTTCATCATGCCCACCGACTGCTCCTCCTGGTCTTCCTGCCTAGGTTATATAAAGCCCTGTTGAYTGAGACAGCTCTCTGGTGTTTGGTGGCATCTGCTGGATTTCCCAGAATCCTTTGGGAAGCACAGGGCCAGGCAGGGGCAGAGAGGGCCTTTGAGGATGCTTATCCATTGAGGATGCCTTTTGGGGCCAGAAGCCAGGCGCCAATGCCACTCCCAGACASTGCCCCAGTCACTGTGGCTCTCTGCTAACAGATGGCTGCTGGCCTGCAGGTGACAGGATGAGTGGAACAGCTAGCCTAGGGGAACTAGGAGCATTCTGTTGGCTCTGAAGGAGGATGTGTTGGCCAGCTGACACTTCAAGGCTAAAAGAAGCCACGGTGTGCTCTGAGGCAAATGGAACATTTCCAGGGATAAAAGTCATGCACAGTTAAGATGCAATTCTTTGAAGAGGTCTGAGGGTGTCCTGCCCCAGAGCATTTGCTGTGTGTTTCAGGATGCTGCATTAATATTTCACAAATTAGCATATCAATATTTTAATGTGTGCTGTGTTTTAATGTCAATCTCACCAGCTTTTCTGACTACAGATCTTAGATTATACTTGCCTTTTCCACTCAGATGTTTATTTGCCAAAAACCTGATTTTGGAAGCAAATGAAGGTCATACTGTAAGAGGTAAATCATTAAATCTCTCTTTATATATAAAAAAGTCAAGTCTTCTGTTCCATAAAGAAGCAAGTATATGTGAAAAGAGCTAAACTGAGGACTGTGGTGTTGAAAGGAATTGTATCTGGCATAGGTTTGTAGAACTTTCTTTCCATCTGGTCCCCAGCTTGATGTCATCCTGATAATGTTCTATTYACTGTTGCTGCACCTCAAAGAATATCTTCCTGGGTAGTCTACTGAGAGAATCCCATTCTAAGCAAACCTTAATAGGCTTAGGGACTGGAAAGTTGAACAGCTGTGAACAATGGGTTGACATTTCCAAAAGTAGAGACACAGTTGGTGACCTCCCATGAACAGTTTCTCTCTTCTTTGATTTTCCCTCTCTCCCACAAATTCTCTTTCTCTCTTCCTCCAGCTATTAGCAATTCATAATATATAGCTAAGCATATATCTTAGTAATTTCGTATTGAGTAAAATTTATGTTCCCAGCTCTTAACCTAGAAAACAGTTTATTATATTTTCTAGGGAGAAATCATTTTGTAAGTATTTTTCCCCTTATGGATCTATGATCCGACACCCTCCAGTGAAAGGGGGAGAAAAAGAGCTCACAATAATTTTTTAAAAAATGCTCTGCWATAGGAACATTCTTCACACATTTCATGTGATCCTCTTCATAACCTTGTAAGGGAAACGAGAGCCTCATTTTTATAGATGATGAAGCGGAGACTTGGAGGAGTTAAGAAATTTGCATGCAGTCACACAGCTGGGGTACTTGGAATCTGGATTCCAGCCCAGTTTTGCCTTCCCCCACATCCACGTTTTTCTCTGCTTTTCCTGGAGAAAAACAGTGATGGATGAAAAAAGAATCCTGGAGAACCAAGTACAGTATGATACTATTTTTTTTAAAGCTCAAAATCTATACCATATGTTTAGAGATACAWGCAAACGTGATAACATTATATTTCAGAAGCAAAGCGGTGACTATCCCCAATTCAGGGTGAAGCTTATGTCAGGGCAGCTGAAATAGGGAGAATAGGGTGAGCACTGGGTTGTTGCCAATATTCGGACCAGCACCCAGTTTACCGTGAGCTCATGGGAGTTAATTTTATTATTATGCATCCTAAATTACCTATTAGTTGTCTGTTTTTGCTTATACCAAATGTTACATTGAAAATAATAAAGGGAAAAAGTGAAGTGAAAGAAGCCAAACCCAATGATGATTGGCTGCTTTAGTGGCCTCTATTCGGACAGTACAGCGACCATCCCTGTGTCTTTTTCCCTGTTGACTCCACAGTGCATTTGCCACGTGTTCTTTTACTGGCGCCTCCATCAGAGATCATCACACCACCCTGTGAGAATACCTGGGATGGGGTTTTTATTCCCACTTTAAAGAGAAAGGGTGGAAACCASCCCTGCGCCTCCCAGCCTCACCTCCTCACATCACCTCCCATTGGAGTTTGCCTAACAACATGGATCCAAGGACAACTTCCAAAGCCAACCAGGCTGTTGTCAAACTGTGCCCCAGAGACCTTCGTGTCTCTTTGGATTGAAACCTGGAGGCTGGGGTTTGAAAAGTCATCTGATCCATTTGCCTGGGTTTGCACTTGGGTTTGTCTATTTGGAATTGAGCCAAAGAGAGGCTCTATCATCCCCCCAGCTCCCCTCTCTAGTTCTTAGCCGTCCTTATCATAGTTCTCCACTCAAAGCCATAAAGCTTAGGTGAAGTCCTGATACTCTTCAGCTGTTGGACCTTGGACAGTAAACATTTTGGGCCTCGATTTTCTCATCTGTGAAATGGTGACGATAACATCGGTGTTACTTGTCATGAGTGTCTCTTCGAAACCAATTTTGTAAAGGACCTTGGTCAACTTTGAAGGACTTGGCAAAAAAAAAAAAAATAATAATAATATATATATATATATATATATAT